TCAAAAGTAGTGTCTGAGACACATGAACATCCAGAGCTCCCAAGATGGAGCTGAGAGCAATAACAAGAAGACAGGCCTGAGCAAAGGAGAGAACAGGAGAGGTTCTGGTTCTCCCATGATCTGCTTTCATTTTTGACTGAGTACTAGAGGATCTGTGGAGTTTGACACCTCAGGTGAGGAATCAAATTGGTCACGATAGTTTCAAGGGCCCAGGACACACAGACAGGAGGCCAACCCAATGGGAGACAAACAGGTCCTCATTCTGAGCCTCATCCCTGATGATTCTATTGTCTCTCACTTACCAGTTTTGCCAGTGACAGAGACTGGGCCCACACGCTGTCCATCATGGTAACCATAGAGATTCATTTTGTATCTGTGGTCAGGCTCCAGCTCAGAGATAGTCACCTCATTCTGGTCTCCCCCAACACGCACCATCTGGGGTCTCCCATCCGTGTCTTTGTACTGGATTGTGAAGGAATCAAATTCTCCCTGGGAGATGGTCCAGGAGAGCTTCAGGGAATCTGGGGTGGCCTCTGTCACTGTCAGCTTCCCAAGTTCAGGCTTCTCTGTGGGCTCAGGGGCCTCAGTAGCTGGCACCGTGGGAGCTAGGGTTTCTTCCTCATGTGGGGCTGTGAGGAGACACATAAAAAGACGATAAGGTGGACTTGGTGATTTCACTGACATCAACCTCCTGCTCCTAATCCAGGGATGGAATCTCTGCAGAAATGAAAAAAGAACTGCTCTAGCGTATACCGGTAAGTTCAGTTTGGGCTAGATAGAATGCTGGACTTGAAATTGCAAAGACGTGAGGTCAAACCTTGACTCAGACATCAAGCTGTGTTATCCTGGGCAAGTTACCTAATGTCTCTAAGTTTCAGTTTCCTTATCTGTAAAATAGGGATGACAATAGCACCTACCTCCCAGGGTTGCTGTAAAGATCTAATAAGATAACATATGTAAAGAACTTTACAAACCTTAAAGAGCTACATAAATGTGATTATTATTAATAGCATCATTATCTCATGTTTAAATTTTGGATTTATTATCAGTCACAGCATGGCCTTAATTAGAATCTTTACATTGGAATCTGTGGAGTCTCATTTGATTAAAAGCAATTGACTCAGTATCCCACTCACCACAGTGGATTTTCTAAACCTTTTTTTATTAATATGTTTTTTTGGGGGGGGGTTAGGCAATGGGGTTAAGTGACTTGTCCAGGGTCACACAGCTAGTAAGTGTTATGTGTCTGAGGCTGGATTTGAACTCAGGCCCTCCTGAATCCAGGGCCAGTACTCTATCTACTGTGCCACCTACTTACCCCATTTTCTAAACCTTTTCATCCTTCCTCAGACCTCCTATACCTCCTTCCCCTACTTTCTCAGGTGAGAACTTTGCATCATATTTTACTGAAAAAATAGAGACTATTCACCATAACCTTCCTCTTCTTCCTTCCTCCTCAACTCATATCTCCCATATGCCTTCTGACAGCATCTCAACCTTCATCCCATCTTACATGAAGAGTTAGCCATTTTCTATACCAAAGAGAACCACTTTACCTGTACAGGTGATCTTATTCCATCCCAACTTCTTCAGGAGACTACCTTCTCTGTCATCCCCACTCTCTCACATATCTTGCCTCTCCTTGTCTACTGGCTGCTTCCTTATTGTCTACTAACATGTCCATATCTTCCCCTTCCCCCAAAAACTTTCACTTGATCCATCCATCTTCATTATCATCCCCTAACTTTCCTATTTTCATGGCTAAACTCCTTGAGAAGGCCATCTACAATAGGTGCCTCCACTTCTTTCCTCTCACTCTATGTGTAACTCTCTACACTTTGGCTTCCTACCTCCTTATTCAACTGAAACTGTTCTCACAAAATTAATAGCTCTTAATTATCAAATCTAATGGCCTTTCCCCACTCTTCCTCCTTCCTGTCTTCTCTGTAGCCTTTGAGACTGTTGATCACCCTCTTCTCTTTGATACTCTCTTCTCTCTAGGTTTTCATGTCCTTGTTCTCTTCCTAACCATCTAGGGGATCTTTCTTAGTCCTTTTTCATAGAATTTCCTCCAGGTCATGCCCTCTGACTATGGATATCCCCCAAGGCTATGTGCTGAGCCTTCTTCTCTTCTCCTGTATACTATTTCACTTGGTGACCTCATCAGCTCCTATGTATTCAATACTATTTCTATGTAGATGACTCTCACATCTACTTTCTGACACTAAACTTTCTCCTGATCTCCAGTTTTGCGCCACCTATTAAACATTAGGAACTCACTGACCCATAGACATCTTAAACTCAATAGATCCAGAGTTGTGCTCTATCTCTTCCCCAAAACCCTCTCCTCTTCCTAAATTCCATATTACTGTTGAGGAAATCATCATCCTCTCAGTCACCTAGACTCAAAACCTAGGGGTCATCTTTAACTATTCTCTCCCACTTCCCATATCCAATCAGTTGCCAAGGCCTATTGATTTTTACCTTCATAATACCTCTAATATATACCCCCTTCTCTCTTCCGACACTTTCACCATTCTCATACAATCCCTCATCATTCTGCTTACACTACTGTAACAGCCTGCTGGTTGGTCTCCCTGCCTCAAGTCACTCCCCACTATAATCCATTCTCCACTCGGCTGTCAAAGTGACCTTCCTAAAACACAAGTCTGATTATGTCTCTCTGGTGAATTAATAATGATAATAATAATGATAAAAACTGAGTAGGGAGTCCATTAACCCGTTTATTATGTCTCTTTTGCTAATAAATAATATTGCTTGGATTGTTCTCTCAATTATTAATAATTAACATCATATCACAATCAATAATTAATAATTAAGATCAAAGCACACCCCCCCCCAGCCCCTCTGCCCCTTGCCACACACAATGAACTCTGTTGGCTGTCTGTCACTTCCAGGATCAAATATAAATCTCCTGTTTGACCTTCAAAGTCCTCTGTAACCTGGCCCTTTCCAATGTTTCCAGTCATTTTACATCTTACACCTCGTCTCTGCTCAGTACTCTGCAATCTGGTGACACTGGAAGTCCTTGCTGTTCCTTCTACAAGATACTTCATCTCCCAACTTTGGGCATTTTCAATGGCTTTGCCTCATGCCTGGATTGTCTCCCATCTCATCTCTGCCTTTTGGCTTCCTTCAAGTCCCAGGTTAAATCCTACCTATGAAGCCTTTCTCAATGTCCCCTTAATTCTAGTGCTTTTCCTCTTAATTATGTACTGTTTATCTGATATACATAGCTTATTTGTACCTAGTTGTTGGCATGTCTCCCCCATTAGATTGTGAGCTTCTTAGATTGTGAACTATTCTTTGTCTTTGTTAGTCTCCTCAGCACTTACAACAGTGCTGGGCACATAGTAGGTGCTTGATAAATGCTTATTGATTGATTGACTGACAATATGACCATCCAATGCTCCCAGGATGGAACTGAGAGCAGTCTCAAGAAGACAGGTCTGAGAACAGGAGAGAACAGCAGAGGCTCTGCCTCTCCCAGGATCTGTTTTAATTTTTCACTAAGTGCCAGAGAATCTGCAGAGTTTGACATCTTAGGAGAAGAATCACATTTTCAAGGACATACAGATAGGAAGCCAACCCCAATGGGAGACAAACAGGTCCTCATTCTGAGCCTCATCCCTGATGATTCTACTGTCCCTCACTTACGAGTTTTGCCAGTGACAGAGACTGGGCCCACACGCTGTCCATCATGGAAACCATAGAGATTCATCTTGTATCT